CCCTCCCCTCTTCTTCCTCTTCCCCTCTTCCTTTTCATCTCCTCCTCCACTTCCTTCTCCTCCTTCCATTACTGGAGATGGGGCTTCCCGGTGAACTAAATCCCCAGCCCTTTTTAAAGTTTTTTATTTTAATAGAGGGTTTTACCTAATTGCTGAGTTGCCCAGGCTGGGCTGGAACTTGCGGTCCTCCTGCCTCAGCCTCCCAGTGTGCCACCACACCCAGCTCAGCTCTCCTTTTACAGACTTGGAAACCAGGGGCCCTGAGCCTTAGAACGCTGCCTCCAGGGCGTTTCGGAGCCCCCAGCCTTGTTCTTTCTGCTCAGCCCCCCAGGGAGTCACGTGGTACCAGAACTTGCCCTCCCAGGTGTAGGATAGTGGTGCACAGTAAACACAGGTTGCGGCGGAGCGTGTGGGACAGCAAGGACGCCTCCTGCCCTGCCCACTGTGTCAGTGCCAGCCTTCCTGATGGTCCACGCTGCTGTCGGGCTCCTCGCCCACTTTTCTTCCCAGAACTTCTGCACCCCATTCTGCACCTGGTCTGGGTGCCCCACAGCCCAGACACTTGAGTGAGGAGCTGACGCTGCCATCCAGACTTCCGGCCCGGCTCTGGGGCTCTGCTGGCTTTTTCCTGCCTCACAGCCAGTAACCGTGCTTGGGATCTTGGGAGGAAATCCCGGGACTTCCCTGAACTAAGAACTGAACTTAGGGATGGAGAGAGGAGGAAGTGGCCACTCCCTGTGCCTCCCTCTTCGTCCTGCCAGAGTCCCTTGGTGTGGACCTCTGGGTCCTCACAGACAGCCGTCCTGGGGCTGTTCTCGAATGCTCGCTGGGCTCCCTCATGTGCAGAGGAAGAGCCTGAGGCCGGGGAGGGTAAGCCCCGGGAGGGACAGGCTGCCCGAGAGGCGCCGGGACCCCAGTTGTGCGTGGGCCAGACCCACTCCCAGCATGCTTTGGGGCTGGAGCTGGGCTTTCAGTGCAGCAGCTGGGAGCCATTTGAAAATGAAGGGTTTAGAACCAAGGCAGGAAAACGTGTTCTTTTGAATTTTATTTTTCATGATTCTGTCTTTTTCATGGGTCTGTCTTTGCAATACATGCTGTGCACATTCCTTCGGGGGACATAAACATTGCAAACAGACGCCCGCCTGTGTGCGGCTTCCCCACCGCGACCCCCAGAACTGCCTCTCTCCACCAGTGTCCGCTTCTCCTCCTCAGGGCAGGGACACCCTCGCATGGACAGAGCTCATCCTCACCTTGGTGCTCTTGTGTTTCCAGGCCGAAGCCGCTGGGACTGAGACTCGCTGGAGTCCAGTTGTCGCGCGAGGGCGAAGGCCCTGTCTGGACGTGTGGTCCTCCACAGGACGAGGAAGGGCTCTCTAGAGCCACAGGGGCCAGGATGTCGTGCTCAGAACGTTGCCGGCCACCTGGGCAGCCCGAGGTGGGGTCAGGGCGGGGACCCAGGGCTCTGTTCTTTCATCCCCGCTCCCCGTAGTTTTGGCCCTAGGCCTGGAGCCCAGGGTCAGGCACAGGCCGGGCAGGTGTTGCCACCGAGCCGCACCCCGCATGCCGCCCACTTTCTCATCAACCCAGGGCGGCTGACAGGAAGTGCTTGCTGCCTAGGTGACTCCTAGGACGGAGCGCCCCAGTCCTACATGCTGACTGCCTGTCCAAGTGACAGTGTTTCAGGAACACATATTTGGATAAAATAGTACTAAACTCAGTGCCACTTGGTCCTCTGGTACCTTGTCACCCTGGCTGCGACCCGGAAGACCCGAAAACACTTCCGAATAAGGACCCGCTCGGGCCTCACTGGCCCCATGGCTGCGGGACGGTGGCCGTGGGCAGGCTCTGTGATTGAGCGGGTCTGTCCTTGTGGCTTCTGCTGTGGCAGGGCAGCGTCCCCGGCTGTCTGGACTCTTTCCTGCCAAGACTGGAAGGAGGGGCCGCCGGTGGGGGCGTCCGGGCGGCGATGAGGCTTCTCTGAACTCTCCCCGCTACTCCCACCTACTTTTTGGTGTGATTCGGAACCGTTTTCTTGGTAATCCTCGTCTGTTCTGGCCGTGTCTGGCGTGTAGCATGGAGGTGGGGCTGCCTTGGCTTTGTTGTTCGGTGGCAGCTTGCTCTTCAGGGGTGATTTTGGTCTGCATGGCTCTTCTGTTACCCTTTGCTGTCCTGCACACTTGCAGTTTTAGGTTGACCTGTGTACCCTTCCTGTCTCTCTCCCTTTAGGCTTCTTATCAAACATTTCTTTTTTTCTTTTTTTAGCACTGGGGTTGGACCCAGGGCCTTCACACCAAGCTCCAACCCCAGCCCTTTTTATTTTTTATTTTGAGACAGGGTCTCTAAGTTGTTAATGTTCAGGATGGGCTTGAATTTGCAATTGCAACCCTCCTGCCTCAGCCCCCAAAGGACTAGGTTAGAGGTGTGACCGAGGAAAGCATCGAGTGTCCCCAGTCATTTACCATATATAGCTGTTGGGCCAGGGACCGCAGCACTTCCTTCTAGAGAGGCCGAGGCTCCCTGCCGGGCTGCACGGCCCCGCCCCCAGGCTGCTGTGGTTGGCTTCGCAGTTCCGCCTCTGGCAGGCCCTGGTGCAGCCGGAAAGACTCGGGTCTGGGTCTGGGCCGGGCTCTGCTCAGCTCGAGAGCTTTATCTTAACCAAACAAGAGGCTGATACAGGGGGAGGGTTCCTGGAGAGACCCGTGCCTGGTGCCGGCCAGCTCTCAGTGAACGTTACCTCCCACCCCCGTCCCTCTGTGCTGATAGGTTGGGGGGGGCTTTGCTTAGTGAATGGTTGATGCCCCCAAACTCGGCCTTGAGGGCTCTAGAGAATTTAGTCTTCTTTTTAAAGTTGGAGTGAAATTTGCTTCAAATAAAATTGTCTATTTAAAAAAAATTTTTTGAGACCAGGTCTTGTTGTGTAGGAGGGCCTTGAGCTCACAGAGACCCTTCTGCCTCAGCCTCCTGAGTGCTGAGTCACACCCAGGTTTTAGGTGGAGGATTCTTCTGACTCACTAGCCATTTTAGAAGCCCCAGTTCATGGCATGTAGAACATTCACAGTGTTGTGCAACCACTACCCATCTAGTTCCAAGAAACTGGTCTCCCCAGGAGGAAGGGGAACCTCGGGGGCCAGCTTTGGTCTTGCCCGACCTTGCTGTGTGCCACCGGGCAAGGGTTGGGGCTCAGCCCCCTGTCGTCTTCGCAGTGCAGGTAGCATTGCTTGTCCTCGGCGGTTTTAGAATCCGCTTTGGGGAGGTCCGACCCCAGCTGCAGCGTCAACTCGCCTTTTGTGGTGTTCTGCGGTTTTCGGTTGTGCTGCAGAGCTGAAGTCTGAGGACGCCTCTGTCGCTTCCTGTGCGCACCTGGTGCTTAATATGTCGCTGCTGTGTACTTGTTTCCTTATGGACCCTTCGGTGACTCACTTTCGAGGGTGCTGGGTATCAAAACCAGGACCTGGCGCCTGAGCTCCGATTGTGTATGGGGTTCCCGAGTGCCCGTGCCTCCCCAGCCTCGGGGAGCCAGTGAGACAGACCAGCAATCCACGCGCGGTGTGCGGGCCTCGCTGACCACATCCCTGTCCTTCTTGCTGTCGTGTTTGTTGAATGAATGCAAACCAGGTCCCCGTGCTCAAGTGAATGAGGGGCCCGGACAGCCCAGCGCCCTGCCAGGCCGAGCCTCTGACCCAGCCGGAAGCCCCTGTGTCGTCATGACTGGTGGTGCCAAAGCCACCTTGGCGCCAGCCCCGCCTGGGACGTCGGGAATGAGCTGTGGGCCGGCTGCACACCCAGGCACCCCCCTTGCCCTCCTCCCACTCCCGTTTCCCCTTCCTCCTCTCCTCTTTGGAGGGGCTGGCGTGGGACTCACCTGCGTCGGCCCGCCTTCCTAACCTCTCTTCCCCGACAGCCTGGCTTTCTCGGAGGCGGAGGCGGAGGGAC